TAGCTCCCTGGCTGGCTGGGAATCGAACCCTGTGAAGCTGCACTCAACCCGCTGTGCCACTGGGGAGGCCCAGAACATTGTTGTTTTTAATGAATGAATGACAGTGTTGCATGCACTGTCTTTGGACCCAGACAAGGTCATGGGCTCATTTCCCCACCAGCCTGGGGAGGCCCCTCCCCACCTGCCCCCTGCCTTCCCTCTACTCCAAGGGGCCCATCCCAGCTGCAGAAAAGGGCTGGGAGCAGGAGGCAGGGCAGAGGGCTGGCTTCCTTAGGCCCCTTCTGTCTATTTAGAGGAATGAGGGTTAGGCTGGCCCTGCTACCCCCAACCCCACCATGACCCTCTTGGAACCTGCCATTGTTCTGTGTCCCAAGGGAGAAAATGACAAAGATCTGGGTCCCCTGACCTTTCCCACTAGGCCTGACCTTGGCACTTCTGGGCTCCGGTATATTGTCCACTTTCAGCAAAAACCTTCTAAGTTAGTTCAACTAGAATTCCCCACTGGGCTCCTCAGGCTCTACGCCCCCTCTGGGGAGGTGTCTGCTCCTTGGCCTGCCTCCTGCCACAACCCCGCTGGGTGAGCGCAGCCAGAATCCCCCACCTCTAAGGGGTCTCCACCCGGCCAAGGCAGCGTCTTGAGTCCGCGGCAGCCACGTGTTTGCCCCTCTACTGTCTTCCCTTTCCCTGCTGGAGTCTCTTTTCTCCGTGCTGAGACTTTCTTAGCCTCCCTTCTCTCCCAGCCCCTCCGCACCGCGCCCACAGGCTCTCAGGTAATGACCTGAGTCATACTTCATTAGGAAGGCAGCCCAGCTTCCCCTCAGCACCCCTCAGCCCATCCCCGGCTGGCAGCTCAGCCCACCTCTGCCTTCCCAGGCAAGTCTCTTAAGGTCACCCTCCTCTTCTGGAGATTTCCCTCAGCAGTCTCTGCCCTGCACCATGGACACCCCCCTCCACTCCTCCACTCCCCACCTCAGACACGTTGCCCTCCTGCAGGCAGCAGCCCCAGGGCTGACACCCTGCCTCTGTCTGTCCTCACAGCCCTGGACCCTGCTGCTGTGCAGACCCAGCTGGCCAGGCCTCTAGGAAAGTTGCCCTCGCAGGCCCCTCGGCCCCTGCTCCTGCCCTCCCTCCTCCCTTTAGCCCTGATCTCAGGGTCAAGGGCTCCAGAGCCCTGACCCGGCCCCTCCACTTCCCACACTCTGAGCTGCGATCTCATCCTGATACCGGCAGCAAGGGGCATTAGAATTGGCCGAGGACACTGCCCAAATAGTTCACCAGTCACCGTCTGGTAAACTGACAGTGTTGCAGGCACACTGGGGGCTAAACTCAGTCTCCGTCTGAGTTCTTCACCTGTGTGCACCATTGCAAGAGCACTCAGGTTCAGTGAACAACAGTAAGAGGATTTTTTAGCAAACCAGGGAAAACAAAGAGTCACTGAGGCCACAAAGGGCCGGTTACCTGACCCCAAGGCGTGCCTGATGTTTTCAAGACTTGGACCAAAAACATCCAAGATGGCGTCGCCCGGAAGCAGCGGCTCCAAGATGGCGTCTTCCCGCCACTGAGGGCTGGAGCAAGAGGCAGCCGGACCACAGGCCGGGGTCCAGGTGTGAGAGAGCAGGAGACACAGCAGGAGCTGCACCCGGCGCTGCAGACACGACCCAGCGCAGCCCCCGACGGGACACTCAGAGCAGCGGCCCAGCGGCTGCACCCCCCGACCAGCGTCCACGCTCGCAGCTCGGGGAGGCCGCTCCTGTGTCCCCGTCCCCGCCACCGCCCGTCCCGCTGTGCAGCAGCCGGACCCGGAGCAGCTTCAGCCGCTCGGCCACCTGCAAAGCCCCAAACTTTCCCTCTCTGAGGTTGGCTGCTGGAAGCCTCTCCTCCTCCTGCGGAGGCCCCGGCGGCCTCTGGGAGATGGGCCCATGGGGCAGGAACGGCCCCCCCGTTCCTGAAGATACGAAAACGCTAAAATCCCAAATGCTGAATGGGGGGCTGGGGGGTGTTCCTTCTGCCGTCCCTTATATTTCTTATCAGTCTCCCCCACCCCCATACTTTGTTCCTATTCCTGGGGCTCTTCATGCTCACCAGCACCCCCTCCAGGGGCGCCATCTGTAGCAACCTTGGCTTCACCCCCTGTTACAATCCGAGGTCCCTGGACCTGGCGGCAGTATCCAGGCACCCCTGGACACCTCGCGTTTCCCCTGGACAAAGCAGACTCATGACAGTCCGGGCCAAGCCTGCTCCTCCTCCGCGATTCCCCTCAGCAGGGGCCACCCACTTGCCAAGAAACCCTGGGGTCACCCTCACCTCTCCCCAATTTCACCCCCACATCTGCTCTATCAATAAATCATGTTGGACCAACTTCAGAAATCAATCCCGAGTGTGCAGCTTCCCACCAGCTCCAGGGAGACCCGGCCCTAGAGCCACCCCAACAAACAGGCAAGGGCTGGGCTAGGGAGAGGTGGGTGAGTTGTACCCGGCTTGCCTGGGGTACAAAATTCGAAGGGAGCAGTAATCAAGGAAAACAGTATTAAACTACAACATCTGTATTAAAATAAAAATATCCATGATGTAACAAAAAATTAAAAAGTTAAACAGAGACCTACTGTTTGTTGACTGACCTCTGTGACACAGTGTCCCCCAACAGCATTTAACAGGGTTAAATACTTAAACCCTTAAACAGTTTAAACCCTTAAACAAATGAGACCCGACAGCTTGGGCAACCAGGGCTTTATGTGTGTGGTTTTTTTTTTTTAAATAGAGCATTCATTAACATTTTTCACTTGGCTCAAAATACAGGGTGGGGTGGGGTGGGGTGGGGTGGGGTGGGGTGGGAGGGCTGTTCTCTGTAGGGACAGGAGCACAGCTCAGGATCTCTATGATCTGAGCAGACTGGCAAAGGAGAGTCCTGGAGCCCTGGGTGGATTTTTCAGGCTTTTGTTAAGCAGGTACACGGCAGGCAGGGGTGGGGGGTGCGGGTGTGAGGGAGGGCGGAAGGCCGGCTGCTCCCCAGGCCCCCGCGAGTCTTCACTCTTTCTGGGCTCTCTGGCGTTCTCTGTGGTCTCAGCTTCTCTTTCATTCTGCCGGTGTCCCCGGGGCGCCGCCCTTATAAGCCCAGTCTCAGCCCAGGTGCGCCCACCTATGCATGCCCACTCCAGGTGCCGCCATCAGGCACGCACGCAGGGCCGCAGGGATCCATCAGTCGTGCTAATGCTAACGGCGGGAGGGCGGAAAAGCCTGATGATCACTTACCCTCCATCCTGATAAGCAGGTCCAGGGGAGCACAGTTTCCCTGTGGCGCTGCCCCTTGGAAGGAGGCCCGCGCTCAGCCCGGGCTTCCCAGGCGAGGTGCCCGCCGCTGCCAGCAGGGGGCGCGGTGGGGCCGCGCGGCCCGGGCCGCTTTGCCGCGAAGGCTCCGCAGAAGCCAGAGCACCCCGCCCCCCCCACCCTGACCCCATCGCTCCCCGCGCGAGGACGCCAGGAGGGGCTGACCCAGCTGCTCATCTCCTCTGGAGACAAGGCTCCCCCTCAGTTTATTTTTATCATTTTTTAAAGATTTATTTATGCATACAAGAGCTGGGGTACAGGCCAGAGATGTGGGGGTACAGGGGTGAGAGGATGCACCAGAGACAGAGTGGGGAACAGAACAGGCAGATTGAGTGACATACACTGCTGAGGGGAGCAGCTGGCGAGGCAGGAGAGGTCTGCTGCGCCATGTGGGTAGCTCCCTGGCCTGCCGGGGATCGAACTTGTGCTGCAGAGGCTGCAGATTGCTTCATAGTGCAGTGCTTAACCCCTTGGGCCGCCAGGGAGGCCCTCCCCCTCAGTTTAGAGAACAGAATAAACCCCAGACCTCCTGCGCCAGCCTGCAGCCCACGGGGCGCTGCCGGGTGTCCCCAGTGGCTGCACCTCCTCACCCCTTCCCCCACCCACATGGTATCCCCAACCCAGATCTGGGGTGAACTCTAAATGGTGGTGTTCTCTGTCTCAGGGTTGGGGGCTTTCTCAAGGGCCACGTTCTAAATTGACCCCAATTCTGACCAGCTCAGAGAGTTCCTTCATCCCTCCCAAGCCAGCAGGAGTGACAGCGGGAGGGGTCTTCCCCCCCAGAGGCTACCCCCACCCCCACCACAGGAGCCCCTTCTCCTGTCACAGTCCCCACAAACCACCCCACCCTTGCCCTGCTGGCTCCTGCTCTCAGGGGCCCCAGGGGAGCCACAAGGCCCAGGACCTGGCTGGACACAGGGCTGCTTCTACCTCCTTTCTTTTGCCCTTTGCCTCCAAGTTTGCCCTGGTTCATTCACATCCTTCCTCTTTGCATCTCGGCCAGCCTTGGCTCCTCCTCCCGCCACCCACCGCTTCTGCTGGCGGCCTGTCCTGACCACCGCCACGCCCCTACCGCTGTGGCCTTCCTCCCCTGTGCCTGCCTTGCCAGACAACCTCAGGTTCACTCCTATTTTAAGAAAAGGTGACCTCGGCTCAGGGAGGCTGAGCGACCTGCCCAAGGTCACACAGCACTGGCAGACGCCCCACTCTGGAGCCTGCCGTCTTGCAGTGCTGCCTCCCTGGGAAGGCCTGGCCCCACTGTCCTCTGCACTGAAATCTCCCACAGCGCGCTCTTGGCCCTGTGCACTGGCTCTGCTTTCCAAGAGTGGGATTTATTTATTCTTTGGATGTCTGTCGAGTGCCTCAGCTGTGCCAGGCCCAGAAGATGAAGGCGCGGCCTGCATTCAAGTTCATGGTCTAGGAGACAAGACTTTTCTGCACGTCAGCTGAATCTTCCCAGGCAGCCGGGAGCGCTCCCAAGGGGCGGAGGCTGCTTCCTGCTTCTCCTGCAACCCACTGGGGGTGGTGACCTCCCGGGCCCTCCTGGGGGAGTTGATGCGCAGGCTGCTGTCTCCATCCAGGGTGGGGGCTGGGCAGTCTCGGCCCAGGCTGTGAGATGTGGATGGGAGGGCGGGGGTGGGGGTGGGGGGTGGACGGTAAGGTGTCAGAGGTTGGATGATGCTAAGAGCAAACTCCCAGGCACGCAGCTCTCCAGTGTGCCATGTCCAGAAGCCCGCGCTCCAGCCCAGCGTTCCCTTGAGTTCCCGGCCAGAGGGACTTTCTTCCTGAAAATCGGTCCCTTGACTGCTGCTCACTTGCCCGACCTGACCTGGCCTGGGAGATCTCCAGGACAAAAGCTTAAAGCCTCGGGATTTCACCGCAGCAGACCTCGCCTGCCTTGGCTGCTGCTCCTCTTAGCGGTGTATTTCAAAACCTGCCTTTGCTGTTCTCCGAAATACACAAAGCCTCCCTATTCCTTCTTAGGCAGACACCCTTCCTGGCCTCCCCCCGAGTCAGCTTCTAGCCTTCAGCCCTGTGCTCCTTATCAGACAGGTGATCCCCGACTCAGCAGGGCCCAGGGCCTGTCCGGCAGGGACACAGCCGGGGGGCCCTGAACCAGGAGGGAGGCGAGGCGGGTCGGGAGCAGACCAGGCGCACACAGACGCAGGGAGAACGAGTCTGTTTAATGGTCTGGCCACGAACACCAGAAACTACAACGGGAGGACAGGCGGTCACAGACGGCGGCACGGAGGGACGGGGGACACGGCACAGCAGCCACAGCAGCAACACATCCTGGAGGACGATACACATGACCAAGGCGCACGCGGGGGGCGGTCCCCCGAAACGCTGACCCAGACGATGGACAGGACGGACCGCCGCCCACAACCGGGAGGGGCCGGGGAAGGGAGGCCCTCGGGTCCTCAGAGCCCCAGGGGGGAGACAGCCCTGGAGGCACTGGACCCCCCCCAACCTGGGCTGTCTCAGCCGCAGAGACAGGTGGGGTTCGTGTCCAGGCTTTCCTACTTCGCCCTGCCCCCATCCAGACCCCCTGGCCCCTGTCTGCCCTCGCCCATTTGGGGGCAAGTTGGGGAGCCGGAGCCTTTGTGGGGGGCAGAGGCGAGGGCTGCCAAATCCTTTTGGCCTGAAAGTGGGAAGCAGGGGTGTGAGAGCTGTTCAGAGAAGGGGCTGGGCTTTGCCGCAAGCCGGGTCACCCCAACCCTGCCTCAGAGGCCCCCGTCCTCTCTGTGCAGATGTGGGTCCCCCGTCTGCCAGCACATTCTGTTCCCTGCCCAGAAGCGTGACCAGGACCCTCCCTGCCCCTCGCGCAGAGGCCTCTGGGCCCCGCGGATGCCCGTTATAGAGATGCCTGTAGTATATGAGGCTCGCGTGGAGGCCGTGTGGGGAATAGACCTGTATATACGTAGGTGTGCGTGGTGCGCTAGAGGGTGACGGGGCCCGCATGCTGGCCGGGCAGGTGGAAACAGGGCGGGCTGACTCCTGCCGGGCCCCCCACGCCGGCCCCATCCTCCGGCTGCTCGGCTAGGTCTCTAACGGTGAGTAGAAAAGCTAAGAAGACTGGGCCCGGCCCCTCAGGGAGGAAGGGCCCCCCACCCCAGACCACCCCAGCGGAGACAGCATCCGGGCGGAGGCTCCCCAGGGGCTGTGGCCACAGCGTGGCCGCCTCTTTCAGAGCAGACGAGTCGGGGCTTCCTCCAGCGTCCTGGGCACCCGGATGGAGAGTCTTCAGAGCTGGCCTTCTGCTCAAGGTGCCAGGGAGGGGGGAGGAGGAAGGGGTCCTACGGCCCCGAAGAAGGCAGTGTGGCCGGCGGGCTGTGGATGACAGGAGAGGGACATAACTGGTTACACGGGGCGGAGGGCCTCAGGGGGCCCGGGGACAGAGGAGCGGGCGGGGGACAAGGAGGGACACTGTCCGCGCAGAGAGCCCGCGGACGGCCGTCGCCGGGGGCCCGCTAGGCCCAGGTTCCCGTCCCCTTCTGTGAGGAACCTGCTGGGGGACCTTGGGCGAGTCAGCTGCCCCCGGAACCCCGGCTCCTTCTGGATAAACCACGCTGTCTGCCTGGCCAAGGTAGACACCCCGTGAGTTTCACCAGCTGCAGAGCTCCCTGCACCCATGAACTCTGGGTCTGTGAATTCTGAGGCACATGCTTGCTCCGGGGGCCCAGCTGGTACCCTCTCTGGGCACCCCCAGGCATCTTCTGTTCACGTGGCCCCTTGTAAGTCCATGCAGCCCCAACCTCCCCACGCCCCCACCCACAAAAATGCACACACACCCTGAAGCGGAGACAGCTCAATAAACAGTGGTGTCTGGCCCACAGCGCTTCTCTGATAAGAGTTGGAAGGAGGCCTTCTAGAACTCTGCTGAGCCCTCCTACCCTCTGGGCCCATTTGGCAGTAGGCCATGTCTGCATCCCAGGCCCAGGAAGACAGGCCTTCTGGGGGGGGCCACACCCGTGTCCTCAGGAAGTGGGGGAGGACAGTGCAAAGGCAAGAGGGGACAAGCCCCCAGGCTGCACAGTTGGAGGGTAACCCACAGGCCTGGGTGGGCCCAGGGTCTTGGCCCTGGGTAGCCCAGCTCCACGCGCCCACGGGAGCAGACGTGCGAGCCCCACGGTTGCTCGTGTTTGAGCTTTGGCAACATGGAAGTCTCTGGGGTCCAGCTGGGGCAAGAGAGGGGAGGGGACGAGGCTCGGTGTCGGGAAGTATCGCCCCAGTGGTAGTGATTCACGGGGCTGGCGCAGACCAGCGCTCCTGCTGCTCCCCTCCCGGGCCCTGTGCAACAGCCCAGGTCCACAGCGCGGAGGTCTGGCCTCGTGGTGCACGCAAGCTCATCTCTGGCGGCCGAGCCTTCCAGGGGGAGGCGTGGAAGGGCAAGCCCTCCCCTCCCGCTGACCTCCCTGGTGGCGCCCAGCAGCCATGGGGCTCTGCCAGCCCAGGCAGACCGTAAAAACCTCCTGCCTGCTTCCCATCCGCCCGGGCCGGGTGGGGGCCAGCTGTGCACATCTGGAGTGGCTGCGGCTGCAGCCGGCCCTCCCCCAGAACTCGGCCCTCCATTCTCTGGGTGGCGTGGAAGCGGGGGCGGGAGCGCAGGGGGAAGGTCAGGGGCCTGGCCTCCCAAGGCCGCCCTGGGGCCTCCTCCGCAGAGCTGGGCTGGGAAGCCTGCGAGCAGGAGGTCCCGCTCCGTGGCCAGCTTGGAGTCTAGGGAGGAGCCGCCGCCCTTTCCATGGGAAACTGCCGGGATGTTTCCCTAAAACGTGTGTCCCAAGCCGCTGGCTGACCCCTGCTTCCCATTCCCGCCTCCGCCTGCTCCTCTCTTTCCTCCTCCAGGCCAGCCTCCGCCCTCCATTGAGCTCCCAGAGCCAACCTCGTGGGGCCCAGGAGGCCAGCGTGTTCCCAGCCGCCACCTCCGGCGGCCCCGCCCTCAGCAGCCTTAGTCACCGAGGCCGACCACCCTCCTCGAGGCCTCCACCCAAACCCGGCCTCTGGGGTCAGCCCCAAAGCTACAGCCCTGGCTGCTTTTGGGGGAACCGCCCCTTGAGCAAGTGTCCTCGTCCTCATGAGCCCCCTGGCCCCAGTGCCAGTTGAGGCCGAAGGCAGGAGGGAGGAAAAATCGCTCATGTGGTTGGCACCCAGGGAGGAAGCGGCTGGAGCTGGCCAGGGCTGCCCCTGCTGCGGGCTTGGGGTGCTCTGAGCGCCGGTCGCTCTGCACAGAAAGCAACTGGGGCCCTGGCTTGAGACCCTTTCTGATCGTGCCTGTCCCCTAACCCCACACCCAGCTCCTGAGTGTCCCACCCCCGCGCTCAGCCCCGGCCCTGGGGGACGCAGGAGAGTAGGGGTCGGGGGAGGACACGCGGGGGGGCTGCCCGGCACCCTCGGCCCTCCTCACGTGGCGGCGTTGGGGACCTGCTGTACCCAGCCCACTTCCTTGTAGGCGGCGGTCACGTGGCTGTAGATGAGGCCGCGCAGCTTAGCCCAGGCTCTCTGCGTCTCAGGCGGGAAGTCGTTGGCGAATTCCTCGGCGATCACCTCCAGAATGACCCCGGAGAGGATCTGGGGTGAAGGGAGGAGGGGGGTGAACACCAGGGCGCCCTGCCCCCAGCAGCCCCCTTTCCACCGGGATTATTCGTGACACAGCAGCCCCCCAGCTTTGGGGACCAGGCTCTGTAGGCCCCAGGCTCCTGCCCTGCGGCCCCTCCTTGCCAGGCCAGGCCAGGGAGGAGGCTGGTGGCCCGCGGTCTCCTTCGAGGCCTGGGGGAGCCCCCAGGGCCAGTGGGCTGCAGGTGGCTGCAGCGAGTGGGTCCTGGGGGGCCCTGGAGTGCAGTGAGGTGGGGCGGTGTCTGCACCCCTGGGTGGTAACGTACCTTGAAGTACACGGGCTCCACCTTGTGCTTGAGGGCGTGGGCTTTGCCCACCAGGGCGAGCACAGAGGACACCTTCTCGGGGTCGTGCAGGTTCTCCACGACCGTGTTGAGCGCCCCCATGACCCGGCAGGCGTGCTTCCGCAGCTGGGGGCTCCGCTCCATTTCCAGGGGCTCCTCCATGTGCTTGAACTGGCTGAAGTACTGCTTGGCCGACGGGAAGTTCACGAAGAACCTGGGGGAGGGGGGCGCTGAAGCGGGGCGTCCAGGGCCGCACCCCTAATGCTCAGACGTGGGGGTGCCCTGGGACTGGGGAGGCGGCGCCACCCCTAAACCCCGTCAGATGCTGTCAGCACTAGGGGCGGCCGTCCCTCCGGCCGAGCTGGCTTGGGGCGTCCCTTTTTCCCCAGGTCCAGCCCAGACGCTGGGCTGGTGGCTCTGTCTCCCCAGCCTCTGCCCTCTGTGCTGCCCGCCTCCTCTCCACCCCCCGCGCCCTTCCAGAGCCTGCTCCAGGCACAGCGGAGAGGGTGAGAGCCCGGGGTCCGCACCGTGGGTGGGCGTACCTGTCTCCCCACCCATGAAGCGGCCCTCAGTGCCCCCGGCTGCTTGTGGGTTGTTTGGGAAGAGGAGATAAGAAACCGCCCGCTGAGCTTCAACGTGGCGTGGCCACGGTGGGGGGCGGGGGGGGGCGGGGTGCTCTCTCAGTGGTCGGCCTCCGTGACGACCAAGCCAGCTGTCCCCGTCACGTCGAGGCCCGGGCCTCCGTCCTCCGCTCAGCTCCCTCTCGCCCTCTCCGCGACCTGCCCCTCCTCGCTCGGCCGTGACGCTGCTTGGCTGATGCAATTAAAGACGGCCACGGTTCTACCTGCTGGCCCGGGGTTCTGTAATCACTTCCTGTCCACCTGTCTGGCCGGACAAGCCCGAGCAGATCCCCAGTCTCCAGTTCTAGCCCCTCCCCTCTCTAGTTTTTTTTTAACTCGCCTAACGCCTCCCTGATAGCACTTTCATGCTATTTGCCTCCAAACAGCACAGTGACAAATAGTCACTGTCACGCTCAAGAACACTCAGGGGCTCCCCAGTATCTACCGAGCAGTCAGAACTCCTTCCCCTGGCAGCCCGGTCTTCTCCGGCTCCGGCCCAGTCCACCAGCTTTGTTCTGTCGGTAGAACACTCCTCTGGCCCGCCGGCCTTCCCTTCCAAGCAGGGGCGCCTCCTGCTGCCTGCATCAGCCCTGCCTCTCCCCGAGGGCCCTGGCTGGCCCCCAGGGCCGGCTTCCCTGCCACCTTTACTGCCTCTTTCCTTTTTGTCTGTCCCACTGGGCGCTACCCCTGGGGCCAGAGGTCAGTCTCACATGGCCTCTGACCCGCTCCCAGCCCAGGGCCGCGGTCTGCAGGGGTTCACTGACCACCTTTGCCGCTCCCCTCCCCGCCGGGGCTGGACATGCACGCACAGCCGTGTCAGCACTCAGGTGACCCATGTGGACAGTCCCGCGGACGGGCTTTGGTTGTGGCCCCCTTTGGAGTGCCCCCCTTCACGGCCAGAGAGAGCTGGTGATTTGGCAACCCAGCCTGGGGCCGGGGTCGAGTTTCGGGCCCCAGCATTGGAGCAGATGCAGAAGGAGCACCTGGCCTGGCCAGGCGACAAAGCTGCTGCTGGCGGGGGAGGGCCAGGGCCGGGGGCACCAGAGGGACGAGAGGGAGGCCCCCTGGAGGCCACATGGACCGGGCAAACCCCTTCACAATTTCCTGTCTGCAAAAGTGTGAGAACCCCTTCTCCCCGCGGACGCGGAGGGTGCCAGCACGCGGGCTTTCCTGCAGAAGCAGAAGCGTAGTAGCGGAGGACGGGCGTGGAGCAGCCTCTGCACTCCCACGGGCAGCCCAGCCGTCGCGGCGGTTGACATCACGATAAAGGCAACGAGGACTTGCCCGCCCTGTCCTGGGCCCGCAGCGCCACCTGCTCAGGTGGCTGCCCCATGGGGCGGGGGTGAGGGGGTGTTTACTGAGCGTCCACTGCAGGGTCTCACTCACCCGTGCACCCTCCCAAGGCCAGGAGGTAGGTGGCAGCGCCCGGATGCAGCCCCTGGCCGGCCCTGCTGGGCCAGTTTCTACTGCCCCCAGGCCTGCTTTTTGGGGTGGCCTGGGACCCAGATGAATCTCCTGCCACAGCACCCAGCACGGGGTCCAGTCCCTGAGTCAGCCGGGCTCCTCTCCCCACCCCCGTGTTTACTCCTGCCCTCCAGGGGGCCTGCACTGCGAGAGCAGCCTCCGCAGCAGCCTTGGGGAGTCCTCACTCCCAGAGGCATCTGGGCTTCCAGGGGAGCCTGAAATAGGCCTGTCTGAGTGTGAGGAAAGGCGTTGGAGTTCCAGCAGGGAGGGAGCCTCCCTCCAGCCTGGGTGTTCCCCTCGGCCTCCTCCCCAGCAGGGAGAGGTGCGGGGTCTGGCTCAGGCCAGCAGGCAGCTCCGTCACCAGCACCCTGGCTGCTAACTCCTGGGGAGCGGGTGTCAGGGGGGCGGGAGGAGGTCAGAGGCCTGGTGGCTCTGGCTGGAATCGGATGTGTCCTGAAGGATGTGTGCCTGGCTCTCGGGAGAGGCTGTCACAAAACTGAGGACAGGGCATCTGGGGAGGGGCCTACGGGCACCTGGGACACTTACTAGTCTTGTTCCCTGACCCCTCACCCTCAGCCCCCTCCTGTACCCCTGCTGGCCAGGTCCTGGGGCAGACAGTAGGAGGGAAAAATGGCGAGGAAGGCTGGTGGACTTGGGGCCGGCCGGAGGACTGAGCCAGGGCTGGGCCAGGATGCCCCGTGCTGGGCTGGGCTCCTGCCAGCACAGAAGGGTCTGGTGAAGTGTGGCAGGGTGATGGGCAGACCAGACCCTGTCTGGATTCCCTGTGGGCCTCTCCGAACACTGGTAACCGCCCCAATCCCAGCCCAGCCCCAGCCCAGCCCCAGCCCAGCCCCAGCCCCCTCTAAGAATCAGGAATGGGGAACTGGAAGGGGCCAGAGAGAGAGAAAGTCTCGCCAAGAGCTCAGCCTGACCGGAAACTGCTCTGCCCAACGTTCCATTCCCCAGCAGCCCCCCTGCGTGCGCCATTGCCCCAGGCAGGATCCTGGGCCATTTTCTCTGTGTCCTCACTGGCATGTGGCAGAGGTTGGGACAGAAATTCTCCCGGGACCTGTGCCCTCTGCCTCACTTCCCCTGAGTGGCGGCGTGCGTCTGCGTGCGTCTGCCCGGTGCCTGGGCTGCCGAGCACATGCTGAGCGCGGCCCTGGGGACAGCCGGAGCCTCTGTGACTCCACTGCCCCAGCGCGAATGTGGGTGCCCCTGCGGCCGTCTCCCCAGCCTTTGATGGCTTCAGGATCTGAAAGCCCTTCTTAGCTTCCCTGCCACCCCCAGCTGTGCTGCCGGGCCAGGGAGCTGCCTCCTTAACTCCTCAAAAGTGTTCCTTGCTCTTTTTCCTCTGAAATCTGTTCCTAAGTTGGAATCAGGGCCTGTCAATCTGGAGTTGGGTAGGTCCCAGCTCCGAGGCGGTGGAGGGAGAGCGTGTGGGGGAGAAAGAGGCGCCGGGGCTTGCGGGGCTGCACTTGGGCTTGGCAGAGCCAGGTTTCGCCCCTTCTTCCAATACGATGACCGCCCTGCTCTGCCCTAGATTTGATTGCTTCCCTCTGCCAAGGACAGGGGTCCGGGCCTCTCCGCCTGCACCCCAGGGACCGACATGTGTGGGAAGAGAGCATCAGTCTCTGATGCTACCGCCGGCCGGTGGCTTACGGGCTGGGGACGGCGGCTGTCTGGGAACCCCGCGTGTGCACCGGCCGGCAGGTGTGCGACTAAGTCACTCTGGTATGTCTGGGTCCCTTGGGACGTGTGGCGCCGGAATAACCCCTAGCCCGAGACACGCAGCCCTTCGGCCCCCGGGGGCCTCTCAGGGTGGGGCTCGTCTGTCTCCTGAACCTTCCCCCTCCCTCCAGCAAAGTCAGCTGCGAGCCTCTGAGGGGGCAGCTGCTCCTCAGCTCACCTGGCTGCCTGGCGCTCCCGCCGCCCGCTCCCTAGGGCGAGAGGGGCCGGCTGGAAAAACTGGCCCTCGGCGACCTACCCCTCCTGACCTCTGTTCTCTCAGCCTCTACTCTGCTCTCACCCCAAACCCCTCTGAACCGGGAAACTGGCGGAGCTGGAGAGAGGGGTCTGTGCCCTTTGCCCCCTCTTGACTGAGCCTCAGTTTCTCCTTCTCTAAAGTGGGGAGCAGCCGTGCCCCCTATTGGAAGGGCTGCGTCTCAGCGTGGGGGTAAAGCTTGGCTGGGCGGCGCGGTCAGCGGCGAGGAAGTCCTGGAGTTCTGGGGCCGGGGCGGGGACCCGGGTGTCCTGGGGTGTGCTTGCTCTCCTGGGGGGCCCCTCGCCCAGACCCCGGAGGAGCTCAGCCAGGGCTTCCCCCACGCCGAGGCACCCCTGCCGCCTCTGGCCCCCGCAGCAGCCGGGGAGGTGGCACCGGTGCCGGGACCCAGGCCGAGCCGCCCCTGCCCCGGGCGGCCGCCGTCCTCCCTCCCCGGTCCGGTCCGGTCCGGTCCGGTCCGGCCGGGCCTGGGCGCACCTACCTCACCAGGATGGCCACCCCCACGTCCTCGCAGTTGGCATAGAGCCGGGCCCACGTCGCCTGCACCGCCTTCCTCTCCGCCTCGGACAGCTCCTCGCCGCGCTCCCTGCGCTCGAGCTCCATCTCCGGCACTTTCTCCATGAGCAGCTCGCAGCCCGGCCCGGCTTCGTTTGGAGGCGGCGGGCGCGCGGCGGGCGGGCGCGCGGGGCCGGGGCGCTGCGTGCGCGGGGCGCGGGGCGGCGCGGGCGGGGTGCTGCGCGCCGGGAGTGTGCGCGCGCGCGGGTGTGCAGGGTATATAGGCGGGGGGCGGGGGACGCGCGGGGGGCGGGGATGCGGTCGGCTGGAAAAATGTTAAAAAAACAAACGCGTTCCAAACCCCCACCCCCGTGTCCGCGAGCCAGGCCGGCAAGGTGAAGCCGGCGGGTGGGGGCGCGGGGCGACGCCCGCCCCAGGGCCCCCGCGGGGTCGCGCCGCCGGGCGGGGCCGGGGCGCAGGGGCGCAGGGGCGCGCCGGGGGTCCCGGGGAGGGCGGGTGCGCCTCCGGGCGCGCGCTGGCGGGCGCGGGTCGGGGTCCGGGGCCGGGCGGGCGCGTGTGCGCCTCCTCGCGCGGCGGGGAACTGACTCCAAGTCCAACGCGCCCTCGCGGCCGCCCGTCGGTCCAGGGGCGCCCACGGCGGGGCCGAGCGCCGGCTTGCTCCCCGCTGCGCAGCCGGCCTCGGGGGCCCCGGCGCCACTGCCAGGGCGCAGGACCCCAGGCCACGGGGGCTTCGGATGGGGTGTCTCGCCAGCGCGGGCGCGGGGGGCTGCGGTGGAACGGGAGCTTGGCGCGCCCCTTTCCATCTGGCCGCCACCCCTCCCCCTTGGTGCCTGCACATGGCGTCGGAAATAAGTCCCCGGGCATCTCATTAGTGACCCCGGCAGGCAAGAACCAGGCGCTGCCCTGAATTCCGGCCCTGGTGGAGGCAAGTCGAGGAGGCCCTGGGGATGGGGGAGTCTCCAAGGCCCGGCTGCTGCAGCCACCCTGGCCATCAGGGCCCCACTAGGGAGTGGTCCTGGGGGTGCAGGGGCTGGAGGTCCTGCCCTGAGGGCTTGGGGTATTTGAGCCGCAGGGCCTGGGCAGGTGGCTGCGCCCTCCCCTTGACGCCTGAGGCAGGATCTGAAACCTGTGAGGCCGGCTGTGGGTGGGGTCAGTTCTCCCTCATGCTCTGGGGACCCTTGTCAGGAGCGGGCACCCCGCTGTCCAAGAGCTGACCTGTCCCCCTTCAGTGCTGGTTTATGTATTTAGTTTTGAAAGCGTATTTCAAGGTGGAGAGGGGCGTGGGGTGGGTCCCCCCCTCGGGCCCTCCCCAAGGATTAGGTGCCTCAGGGGGCCCAGAACACCACCTTATCTCAGCCTGAGAAAGGGAAATCAGATGCCACCTTCTGGGGCTTCAGAGGGGTGAGGGGGGAGCCGGCAGGTTCAGCCTCTCCTGTGGCTGTCAGACCATTCTCCTGGGCCAAGGTGGGTGAGGGCTGAGCCTGCAGCCAGCGGGGAGTAGGGGGAACCTTCTGTCTCTGCCGCCCCTTGCGAGTGTGCTCTGGTGATGGCGCAGGCCGCGTGTGCGGGAGGCCCTGCTCTCTAATCTCCCGCGGGCTCTGGCCTGTGAGTGCTGCTGACATCCTGCCTTTCACTCAAGGGGGTTTGCCGTCAGAAGCGCTTGCAGAGGGAGGTCCCGAGGGTAGAACAGAACCACCTGTCACTCCTTGTCTTCCTGCCTTCATCATCTAATGTTCTTCCCTGCGTCCCCTCCCAAGGGGCCGGGCCCCCGTCGCTACCCGGTCCCTTCCAGTGCTGGAGTGCCCGGGCGGTCAGGCCTGCGGTCCCGCAGTCTTTTGTCCAAGGGGCGATCCTTTCCGGGAGCAGCTGCGAGTCCATGCGCTGAGCGCCTGTTTGAAGCTTCCCAGAGGCTTGCAACTCCCCAGGTGTTCAGCTTGGGGGTGCACTTAACCTGGACAGTGAGCCCCTTGAGGGCCAGGGCCAGGTCTCGGTCCTGTCCACATCCCGAGCAGACTGAGGCCCATTTGCTCTGCCCCGGGGGGCCCCGGGCCCGGGGAGGTTAATCAGTCTTCACAAGGTCGGGTCTGCTGATCCCCCTAATCAGCTTGAGCCTCCAAATCCACCACCAGCAGAAAGCTCAGGATGGACGGTAGAGGCTGGTGAGAGCCCTCGGGGGCCATTCTGCCCTCTTCTGCAGACTGCCCAGGAGGGGATGGGGCAGCCGGGCCATGTGCACCACCCTCTTCCTGCTCGGCGCCCTGGCCATGCTCTGGCGACGCCGATTTGCCAACCAGGTCCAACCGTGAGAAGCTGGCCCGTGGGCTGGGCTGGGGGAGAAACGGTGGGCTGTAGCCAAGCTGCGGGTGGGCTGCCTGGGCTCCAGGGTGAGTAGGTGTGTCCCCGAGGTGGCCCCCGTCAGAGGAGGGGACTTGGGACTCTTCACAGACCCTGGCCCACAGCCCAAGGTAGCAAGATCTTGCAGAGAAGTGGGAGCAGCTGGCACTGCCCACAGCTCTTCCCACCTGCCCCCTCCCACAGAGAGCCCTGCAGCAGGCCCACGGGGCACCTACGGGCAGCAGCTTGGAGCCAGACCCCCTGCGTGCAGGCAGGTAAGGCGGAGAGAGCCTGGGCTAGGAAGGGGGTGCTGCCGGGGGAGCTGCGGCCGTCCCTGTCCCCGCTTGGGCATTTGCGTGTGCGCAGGAACTGGCCGGCCTGCTGCCTGGCCTGCGCCCAGGGCTTCCCCGGGTGCCGGGAGGGCAGGCTGTTTTCTGTAGTTGGGAAGGGGCTCCCCAGCCTCTCCCCCCGGCCAGAGCGGCTCTGCCTTCCGTGCAGGGCGGTCCCCAGGGCTCCTCTGGCTGCTGCAGGGGAGCGGAGGGAGGAGGCAGACACTGCCCTGCAGCTTTGCTGGCCTCCCTTCCCCCTCCCTCCTCACACCCCCCCCCCCCCCCCCCCCCCCCCCGCGGTTCCGCGGCCTGAGCCTCCAGCAGGATTCGTCCCCAATAGAAGGCGCTGGAGGAGCATGACGTCACCGGCACGCGGAGCCATTGGCTGGGCAGCCCAGCGGGCAGGATGCTGTCTCCTGTGGCCAGAAAGTTAACTCTTCCCTCAGCGAAGCCGTGTGGCCTTTACTGGGGATGAAGTTTGGGGAACTTGGGGTCTTTTCCTTCCCCGGGTGACCAGTGTCTTGGTGCCCAACCAGCTACTGAGGCCAGTCACTCTGGCCGGGCCTGCTGTCTCAAGTGCGTGCCCTGGGCAGCCCGAGCCGGAGGCCCCTCTGCGGAGTGAGCGTCTCTCCTGTCTGTGGGGGCCCAGCACTGCCTCCCCGCGCCCACAGAGCCCGTGCGCCCCGGGCCCCCTGGGGGCTCAAGGCTGAGCACCAGCAGCTCAGCCAGGGCAGGGCTGCCCTCAGACCCAGGAGGCCGCAGGCTGTCTCAGCTGATTTTCTCAGCCCTGGGGCCTCCCCGGGTTTGAGGGTCAGATGGGGTGCACCCATGGGAAACGGGCACTTTTGTGCTCCCCCTTGTTAATTGGATAGCTGAGAGGTTGAAGCCTAGTCCCTGCCCTGCGTGACCTGGGGGGCTGCACGTGAGTGGCCTCTGTTGAGTTCGGGTCCCTGGCTGGGCAGCCGGTTTAGACCCTGGGTCCGCTTTCACCGAGAGATTTGGGGCAAGTGGTGGCGTCTTTTTATTTCTGTGTGAACTGGCGCCAAGGGCTGAGCCAGGTGACCTGGTTCCGGGCATCGGGGCCGGCTGCCCTCTTGCTGTGTCTCTGACTTGGCCAGAGGGTCCTCAGACACTGCCTGGCTTGGAAGTCTCACAGCCCAGAGGGCCGGCGGGAGGGCCTCCGTCTGCTGTGGGAGGGGAGGACAGTGCCCGGTCACCCGCCCCGCTCGCGGCCGACACGGGACCAGCGGAATGGGCAGGAGAAAGACACCTGGGGACCCCTGGCCGGCGGCCTGCCTCCTCGCTCCCTGGGACCCAGTTATCGGGGAAGTTGGCCTGACAGCTCCTCTGAGGCGGCTGTGGAGGCTGCCACTCCCAGGGGCGAGTGTCTGCTCTCCAGCCCCACAGTCTAAATCCCAGCTGGTGTCTCGGTTGCTCCTGGCTGTCACAGCTGGGTGAATTGGCACGCTCGGGGCCAGGACGCGAAGGCAGGAGCGCAGGACACCCTGGCTGCCATGCTCCATGCTCGTCTCTGTTTAGGGAGGAAGAGCTGCTGGAGTAAACCCTCGCCTCAGCAGGAGGGAGCTCAGCCCCCAGGACTGGGATCAGCTGGGGAGGCAGGTAGGCCAGGGCCCCCAGGCAGGCGGAGGGGAGGGCAGGGCAGGAAGAGGATTCGAGGCCTGGCTGCATGGGCACAGAGAGGCCGGCTTCCCCTCTGTGGCGGTCAGTGGGGGCCGGAGGAGGAGGGCGCTCTGTGGCTTCAGCCGTGGGCAAGGGTTGGCTTTCAGAGAACCAGGTGTGATCTTGGCAGGCAGTTTTCTAGGCTTGGGGGTGGGGTGGTGATCAGGCTGGGTGCCTGAGGGCAGAGAGTCCCCCTGAGGAGTAGGGGTGCTCTGGAATGTCTGCACTGCAACACAAGCCCCGGTCCTGGCTGGGGTGTGGGTGGGGAGTGGGGAATGGGGAGGTGGAGGAGGGCGGCCATCTGCTTTGGTTTTGTTTCAGCTCCGGACCGGCGTGCCCCCCAACGCCCCCCACCCTGGAGGACACCAGGTGGGGAGCAGCAGCGGTAGGAGGGAAATGAGGAAAAGAGCGACCGAGAAGGCAGACACCTGGCTTTGCAAGCCCCCAGCCCTCGCGGGCGGCCTGCCAGCCTCTACTTCCCCAGAATGAAGCGCGGGGCTCCTGAGGCGGGAGGCCAGGCTGGGGCTGCAGAGTGCAGCGGGGCCTCTGCTCACAGGCTCCCTTCCTCCCACTCCCGAGGCTGCTCTGAGGGGACCGAGGAGGCCCAGCAAGAGGGGCTCAGGGGTGCCCCAGGAACGGAGGGACAGTCCTGGGCCCCACTCTGAGAGAGGCGGGGCTGCTCAAACATTCTCTAATCTTCGAAATAATGCAGAGTCTGGCTCTGTCAGCGTCTGCATTTTCAAAACGAGGAAACACAGAAAGAGGTTAATGCATCTGTGCTGCATCACCTAGCACACCCCGGGCAAAGAGGGGGCTCCAGAACCCACTCTCCTAACCACCATGGATGGCACAGGCCCCAAGAATTCTCCGGGAGAGGCTGCCAGGTGGGAGGAGACAGTCACGGGCCGGCTGCCTGCCTCGGACCCTGGGGAGCTCCACTGTTCATCCTTGGCTGGGGGTGCAGGCTGGGGGTAGTTGTCAGCCGCGGTGGCGCTCGCTTCCCGGGGCGCTTGCCTCTCCCGGTTCCCCAGAGCACACGCAGTCACCGGCTGCTCTGTGGAAATAACAGCGCTTGGCCCTGGGGCCTGCCTGCCCGCAGCTGCTGGGGGGCGACCTCGGCTCGTCCTCTGAGTGTGCTTTCCGTGCACGCGTGCGCGTGTGTGTGCGCACACGTGTGTCCCAAACGGGCAGCAGCATGTGGGGAGGGAAGAAGCTTGACACTTGTTTTTGTCAATTTACCGACTGCTCAGTCCCGGGCTGCTGCCTCCGTGGCCCCCCTGCTCTGCCCGCTCGCTCTCCAGTCCTGCCTGATCCCGAGCGGAGATAAAAGCAGACTTCCACTCTGCTCCCTGCCATCCAGGCGCAGACCCTGCAGACAGCTGCTCCCGGCTGGCTGGGAGCCATTCATCTTCCACAGCCCCCCTCCCCCACCCCCGCCTCTGCTCCCCTCCAGCCCTGCCGCCCACCGCGGACACCCCGGCCCCCGCCTTTCACGCAGCAGGAGGTGGAGGAGTTCTCTGGACCGCAGCACCCTGGCTGCACCCCACCTCTTTGGGGGGGGCGAGGGTGAGCCACAGCAGACGGAGAGCACCCACTCTGGAATGAAGGGTGCAGGGAGCCTGGCAGTTCCGTGGCAGCCACGAAAGTAGGGCGGGTGCAGGCAGGGGAGGGGGCGCGGCTCTGGGGGCCGGGAGTTCGTGACCACCTGTCTCAGCTCCTGTCAGACTGTCCTGCTCCTGGGAGGCGCCAGCCGTCCTGTGACAGGACTGTTGGGCTGAGGGACAGAGGGCACCGTCCCTGGGCTCCGGCCCGTGTCCCGAGTCCATCTTTGCATTCATCCCCGGATCTGCTCGCCACATTCCTGTCACCCCAGCCGCCCCTCTGCTCTCCGCCGGTCCCCAGCTGCCTGTCTCCGTCCACCAGCCCGAGGAATTGCCAGGCCAAGGTCCCCTCCTGGTACCGGGGCCGGCCCCCTGCCCAGACACAAGCCACACGGTGGCCCCCACTGCAGCGCGGCTCTAAGCAGCCACTCGGGAGCCCCGGCTCCTCCGTGGACGCTTCTGGACGGAGGGAGGGGCAGAGGCAGGGGCTGGCCAGGGGGCTGCGTCTGCAGCTAGGAGGCAGGGGGGGCCGGGTGGTGGGGTGCCATGTGGGCCGAGAGGGAGGGGCCCTCTCCCCGGGGAGCAGATTGTGTTTACACCTTCCCCGCACACCCTGCCCACGCACGGCGTCCGGCCTCCCCGGGGCGCTCTGCAGCCCGCACGTCGGCAGCTCCTGCAGCAGAAAGTGCTGCGCGGCCTGGAGCCCCTCCACTGACAGCTCCCGGGGACCCTGACGCCCTTCCCTGTCTGCCATCTCCTGACGGGAGTGGGGTGTGCGGGTGGCGCCCGTGGTGAGGGGGCACCCAAAGTCCACGAGAGGCAGAGTCCTCTCCCCCCATTTCCTTGGAAAGAGCCTGGTGCTCGGGAAAGGGAGCAGCCCGTCTGGGACTGGCCATAACAGGAGGGATTAGGGCCGCGGAGACAGCCGAGGCGGAGGGCCGGGCGCCCAGGCCGGGGTGCTGGCCGCCGTGCGGGGGCTGAAGACGCTGAGGGTGGGGCCCCGAGTGGAGCGTGGACCTGACCTTGAGGCCACGTCGCTTCCTGCCTCTGTGGCCTTGCCTGTCCCTGGCCGTCTCTGTGCCTTAGTTTCCCCGTCTGTGAGACGGAGATAACCTCAGCCTACCTCAGAGTTTCTCAGGGCTGGGGAGGTGGTGGTGGAAGGCGCTTGGCATGCCCAGGGGCGCTCGAGATGTGGGTGAGGGGGCCGGGGTGAGTGGTGGGGACTGGGCACCTGGTGACTTCAGAACAACCCATTGGTTCCAAAGAGCAGGGCCTCCCCACCCCCCTGGGGTCCTCCTTGCCCTGTCCACCCCCCATCCCACACCAGCTGGGAGCTTTCGTTGAAAACAAACGAGAGGACAGTGGAGGGTGGAACTGCTGGGTGGCGGCACCCGGAAAGACTGGACGAGGGTGCCCGGCATTGCCGCTGCGTGCTTGGAACCCCGCGGCCCTCCGGGGGGGCCTCGGCCTGGACACCTGCTCCCAGAGGGCTCTGCTTCCCCGCGCGAATGTCAGCTCCTTGAGGAGATGGGAGGCGGCTGCCCTGAAGCTCCATCCTCGTCTGCATGCTAGTCTCGCTGCCGGTGGGAGCTGAGTGACAGGGAGGGGCGTGCTGAGCTGCAGGGTGGCCGAGGGCAGCAGCCGGAGCAGGGAGGTGCTGTTGTCTGCTCCTTCTGTGGCTGAGATTCGGGGCGGCTGCCAATCTCTCCTGGAGATTGGAACAAGACCAGCGAGCTAATGAGGGGGTGGCGGTGGGGGGAGCAAGGGCCAGGCGGCAGCAGCTGCTGCTGTCCTGTGTCATCCTGGGGTACAGAGGCGACCTTGGGAAGCGCCGGCCAGCTGCACATGTGGCTGTGTGTGCACAGGACGGGCCTGGGCAAGACAGCAGAGGCCCTGGTCCAAGGCCGGGTGGGCATGGCGCCTGAGCTGAGGCGGCATGATGGCACCAGAGCAGGGCACCCTGCTGCACCCCCGGGCCTCGCTGTTAGGAAGAAATGCAGCCCTTGAGCTGGGGAGAGCGATGCTTCTTGGTGGGCCTCAAGAGGAGGCGGCCAAGTGGCCTACTGAGAGCGGCCTCTGCGTAGCGCGGGGAGAGCGGCACGGCTGATGCTTTCACAGTGAACACGCCGCAGACACTCACGCGCCAGGCGCTGTGCCAAGCGCTTTCTTTACAGGCGTCTGCTTTCCGTGGCAGCAACTGTCATGCTTCTCATTTGCCAGAGGGAAGGTGAGGGTCACTGAATGTGCTCAAGGTCAAGTCCGGGGAAGACGCCGATACCTGCACCCGGGCAACGGGACCCCAAAGCTCGTGAGCCGGGGGTGGGGGTTTGGCATCTGGACGGGGCAGACCTGTCTGCTGGGCCCAAGGACCGGCAGCTGCAGCCTGGCCAGCGATCCCTTGGCGGGGGGGGGGGCGGGGGGCCGGGCCTCCTCGCGCTGGATCTGGGCAGTCATCATTCGGGGAGACTGACCTGGGGCCCCAGAAGGCCAGGCCTGGCCCGCCAGGTGAGGGCCGGGATGAGGAGGGCTGCCTCTCCAGGACCTGTCACCGCATCAGGAGGAAGCGGCGTTGCCTGCAGGGTGACAGCAAGATCATCACTCACAGCCACTGTCACTGCCACTGGCTGCCCCTTCAGCCAGGGGCAGAGCCCGGGGGAGCCGAGCAAGGAGCAGCGGACCAGCCGGAGCAGGTGCTTGCGGGAAGGAACAAGGAGGGACCAAGGAGGCAGCCTCAAAAGGGCACCCAGGGACTTAAGCTGGAAAGGAACCCCGAACCTGACTGCAGACCCTCTCCGTGGGGTACAGGTGCCCCCTAGTGGGGACTTAGGCTAGAGGGTGGCCGAGCGAAAACAAAAAATTTACAATCAGATAGGAAGGCCTACACACACGCACGCACGCACGCACGCACGCATGCACGCACACACGCACACACGCATGCATGCGACCATAAGTGGAAGCCGAGCCACGCACTGGGAGAATGTGTTCAGGTGGTTGTTAATTTAACAAGCATGTGCCGGGAGTCCAGGAGCTGGGGTGACCCGGTTGTAAAGGAGACGCTGCCGCCGCCCTGTCGGTTCCAGTGAGGCCTGTGCTCTGGCCCTCAACCACTCATCAGCCCTCACCCCGCTTCTCAGACTGCTGAACGAGGTGGGCTGGTGCTTAGGATGCTCAGGACTAATGACATCCTCAGGCACAGAACTATCTAGAAAAACAAAAAGGGTGGCTGGGGCGGCCTCTGGGGCCTTGGAGATCCCCCCAAGCAAAAGACAGTAATGGGCCGTGTCTGGAGGTGCTAACAAAGACTCGCCCACTCAAACATTTCTGGAGGCCTGTGTGCTGGGTACTGGGAGACAGAAATGAATTATGATTTCCTGCCGCAAACAACTAGAAAACGGAGCAAAATACGAGAAACAGGACCTTGACAACTGATAGCTCACAGAGCGCCGGGGCGGCTGCGGACGGTCGCCTGCCTGCCTGCCTCAGGGAGTGGAAGGATCCAAGCCACCACGGGGTCTCCCTGAGGGGAGACAGGGTGAGCGTGAAGACAGCAGGGCACCCATGAGGTCCCTGACCCGTGGAACCCCAATCCAGACGCAATGGAGGTGACTCAGTGGAGAAAGAAGAGGCCTCTCAAAAGAAAAGCAAAAACACTGACATGAAGGGAAAACCCTGAACTTTATCTGACTTCTTGAAAGATGGGGAGAAAGTTTGCCGGGCAAACGCCTGAGAAAAGCTGTGTCTCCAGAACACATAATGGGCTTTGACAATGCAATGAGGCAGCCCCGTTAAAAATAAGGGGTTTAAGGGCCTCCCCGGTGGTGCAGCAGTTGAGCGCTGGGTTGCAAAGCTGCTCGCGGCCTCTGCAGCGCCGGTTCCATCCTTGGCTGCTCCCCGGCCACCAGAGGAGGGTCCCACATGGCGCGCAGACCTCTCCTGCCGCCCGCTGCTCCCCTCAGCAGTGTCCTTCGGTCCTTCTGCCTGCTCTGTTCCCCGCTCTGGCTCTGGTGAATTCTCTCACCCTCCCGCGCTTCTAACTGTACCCAGTGCATGTATAAATAAATAAATAAATCTTAAAAAAAAGTTATTAAAAAAAAAATAAGGGGTTTAATAGACACTTTGCCAATAGTCATCAAGTGGCCAGGAAACACGGAAAGATGTTCGATGTCGCTGAGTCACCAGGGAATCAGACAGCCTTGGCGAGGTGCTGCCAGGTCCCCGCTGAGGGCTGGAGTTCCAGAGCGACCGTGACAGGTGCTGGTGGGGGTGTGGGACCCCTGGGACCTGACACTTGTCGCTGGGAGAGTGTGTGAACTGTCGCAGCCACTTGGGAAAATGGTTTGGCAGTTGCTTATGAAGTTACCCAAGGGGAGTGAAAACT